ATCCAAAACCCTAAGCTCTAAACCCTAAACCTTGAGAAGCCCTAAATCCTAAACCCCAAGCTCTTACAGTTCTAGTCCCCCTTAAGTAGATAGAATATAGCTTTGGGTATAAGATCCCCATATACCTTATATTCTATCCACTTAAGGGGGACTAAAACCGAAAACGCCCAAACCCTAATCAATAAGCCCTAATTCCTAAACCCTGAGCTCTTACAGTTAGGTCTGGGGAGCTTCTGTACTTCCCAGATAACTGGCATCATGGCGTGGTAAACTTCGAGAAGCTGGGTGGCTCTAGGGCATGTGCTGAAATTAGGGGTTTAGGGGTTAAGGGGTTTAGGGGTTAAGGGGTTTAGGGGTTTGGGGTTTAGGGATTTAGGTTTTGGGGTTTAGTGCATAGGGTCTAGGTTTCCGGGTTTAGGGTTTGGGGGTTCTACATGACATGTTACGGAGGTATCCTGTAAGTGAGACTTCACTTCTAGACGGGAACCTGCAATGAGCAGCTAAGGAAATATACAGCCTTTGTGAGCAGCTTCATCAACAAAGACTTGATACAGCAGGGCACACCGCCGCAAACCAAGCTACTCACTCGTTGAATGCAAGGCGGGCGCTTTCTGCGGAGTTCTCTCACGTGCACCATCCTTTATTTTTTGGCTGCAAATGCGCCAGACCTGCAGATGCAAGAATCTTATCCAGGGCCTGAAGAAGGACATCCCCCCTTCTGCAGAGCGCCTGCAACTGATTATCAGGTCTTCTACGAGCCCAGGTCTCCACGGGCTCGCAGACGCTGCCATCCTTCCTTCGGGAGTTTCCAGCAAGCCTGCAATACTAGGCATCGGCTCCTCCTTGAAGCATAGAACCCTGCAGGCATGGAGCCAAAAAACGTCTGTGCACCCTGAACAGGTTTTAGGGTTTAGGGTTTACGGGCTGGGGCGGAGGAGGTTTTAGAGTTTAGGGTTGAGGATTGCAAGCCCTCAAAACCTCCAAGCCGTCGTCCACAGCAGGAAAAAAAGAACCTCCGCAAGTTTAAATAAGAGCGTTAGCACCCCTGGTTAGGAGTTTAGGCTTTATAGGGGCTTAGGGTTTTGAATCAGAATCCATGGCATTTACCATTCATGAGGAGAAGGGGGTCACCGTGAATGCTGACGCATATGTGTATATATATATATATAAGAATAAAGCACAGTATACTACGGGAAGGTATGGGATACAAACGGAATAACCATTCGAAACATCGAACATCGCATGGACGCTCGAACTCTGTGGGTGTTACAACCCTTTGAATGTAGAAGCCTGAATGTTTATCAACGTTCTCCCATTCTAGTCATTAAAGAAAGCTACAGTATAGCATACCCCATAAGCCAATTCTAAGTGTTGAGGCCTGTACATTATGGTTTCTAAGCTCTTACAGCATAATTACATCCTTTTCCACGTCACGTTGCATTCTCTTTGCCATCTGCTTCTCCGATCGTAATATATCCTTAGATACCCTCATATCCGTATATCATCCCTTTAAAGAGGCCTCCTTCTGGGCATGTTGGCCCCCAAGACCCCAAAACCCTAGAGCCTAAATCCTATATCCTGAAACCCAGAAGCCTAAAGCCCAAACCCTAAAGCCAAAATCCTAAATCCTGAATCCTAAGCCAGAGCCAGGAAGCTCTTACAGAGAGCAGCAAAGAGAGCTGAGCTTCTCCTCCCTTCCGCGACGGGTGCCTCACCTTGCTTTCTTTCACGGGCTAGATGTTAGGAATTTAGGGTTTAGGGGACTTGTTTTGACCTATCTATCAGCCTATCCTATATTATCTCCACCCTCCGCCGAAGTAACAGGAAAGTACACGTGGGTACTTGCCAAAATTAGGGTCCCATTTTGGTACCGCCCCCAAATATTAGATGCCGTCATATAATCTATAGCCAAACGGGGCCCATAATTTTGAGAACAACCCACATAGGCCCATTCCTACTGGTCTTGGCAGGACCCTTAACTCTTGTTCCTCGTCCCTGAACCCTAGCCCATTGACCCAAATCCCCGAACCCCCGATCTCTAAGACTTCATCTCAAACCCTAGACGCGGTCTAGGGTTCAGGGTTTAGGGTCTAGGGTTTAGAGTTTAGAGTTTAGAGTCTAGGGTTGGGCTTCCATGTGACGCTGAAGGAAGCCATGTGTACGCATCTGGAGACTGTCCTGATTACCATACACTTCCTGGTGCTTCCCCGGGGGGGCGCATCCCTATCCTCATATTATACACCCCTGTGAGGATTTAGGGTAGGGTTTAGGGTGAGCTGCTGAGCCACGCAACTCTTGCCGTCTGCAGTTTGCATGTGATGAATGCTAGGGTTCAGGGTATAGGGCTTTGGGTTCAGGCATTTGCAAGAAGATGTGGATATGTGGATCCCGAATCACCCATTATGAAGACCCGCAGCACTCAAAACCCACAGGGTGTGAGTGTAGTTTTTTGGGGTTTAGGTGTTCGGGTGTTCGGTTTATAGGGCTTAGGGCTTGAGGGCTCTGGGCGTAGGCCTCAGATTCTATTGCTTGATGTTGAGATTCAAAATTCTTGGCGCAAAGAAGAGCAGTAGTCAGGTAATTAGAGGATCATTTGTACTAGATTCTGAAGAAAATCCTGACATACGAGAACTGTAAAAAGAGGAATGGCAACATGCTGCACTGGGACATAGAGCCTGCAGGCGGTGCGGGTAGCAGCGAGCTAGCGTCACGCCTGGCTTTCCTTCAAGAAGATTCCACGTTTTGGAACCTGACCTTCTGCACGCTTTGCCGCTACGATGCTCTGTTTGGGCCGGGGCACAAGGACTTGGCCCTAAACCCTAAGCCCATGACTTGAGCACAAGGTTTGGGGTTTGGGATCGGACGGCTTTGAATTAATCATATTGAGGTTTTACGGGTTTGGGGTTTTGGGGTTTTAGGGCTTAGGGTTTCGGGGTTTAGGGTTTATCACGTAGGCCCCCACATTTTGAAGCAGAATCCCACATCGTTGTACCAAACCAGAATTCTTGCTCCTAAGCCCCAAATCCGTGGCTCTAATCCCAAGTGATTAACCCCAAACATTCCATTCCACTTTGTAAGCCACAAGCCCTTCGAATCACCTCTTTCGGATAGTAAAGCCACCCCACCCAAGCAATGATCAATATTCACAATATATTTCCATTCTAAAATACGTGCCTTAGGGGTTCGGGGTTGCTACAATTAGAGTGGTTCTTATTCATGGGGAAACTTGATAGGTTGGCCTGCAATTAGGCCAGTAAGTGTTTTTACTAAGTCCCCCTGACCCTGACCCTAAATGCCATACTTACCTTGTCCTCTGATCCTCCAAAAGGGGGTTATTTCGGTCCATTTCTTGGAGCCTTGAAGGAGGGTGGTGGGCTCCACGCAGCGGTTCCAATGGAGGCGGGCGCTCTCCAAAGTGATCACCTCCAGGGTTTAGGGGTTTCGGGTCTACCTGAACCCCAAAAGTATGTAGCATAATGGCCTGTTGGGTTATTTCTAGGGGTTTTGGGCTATTATTTTACTTACTGTTGGGGTCCAGGTAGGGGTTAGGGTTTGAGAGCTTAGGGTTTAGTGTAAAAGTCGCTTTTCCCAATAAAGTGCAAGTACATGTCGGGGAATTTTTTCGAGGGTAGATCAGAGCATTTCGCTAGCTCCAACCCACAAGTTAGGACTCTACAACTATCACCCAAAGACCCTGAAGATCCCAAAGACCTCTAAAAAAGAGACCAAAAAAAAGAAAAACCAAAAAAACTAGACCGCAAATCCCTAAGCCCCAAGAACCCTAAGCCCCCTGAGCCCCATATCCCTAAACCCCTAAACCCCAAAAACACGATTAAGAAAACACGCCCCTAAGCCCCATATCTCTCAACCCTAAACCGATGGTCATCATGTGGTAGTTTTGGGAGCCTGGGTTGCCTGAATCATCTTATCACTAGGCCCTAAAGCCTTTGCATGCCTGCGTAATCCTCATATGAGCTATAGTCTAAAACTCAGAACAGGGTTCTATAACTATAGGGGTTATATAGGGCAGTATCATAGGGATTATTGTGGGGGGGAGGGGGGGGGGGTGCTAGGATTTTAGACTATAGCTCATATGACTCCGATGTAGCTAGCCTTTTTCATGAAGAATGACATGTTGTATGAGTTATATGATGTAGGGGCCTACCTAAATACTGAGAGGTGGGATTTGGGGCACTTTCTACTACTGTACCGTAAACCCTAAACCCCTAAGCCCTGTAACGATGTATCCCCAAGGGCGCCAGGAAGCCTATAGATAGTCCTCTGAAGGCCTCTCTAGAGCTACCTGCGGTCATTCCAGAAATGCTAGATACAACAAAGCATCAGAATCCTTATTGTTACGAGTATGAGTATTACTATTATTTAGACTCTGCTTTAGCATTCCTACCCTAAACCCTCAACCCGCAACCATCATTTGTCGGACCCCCAAACCCCGCAGCGTGAACCAACAGCCAGGCGCTTGCAACTTGCCCCGAAACCCTGAACCCTAAACCTTATACCTGAAACCGACAACTTTAACCACACCCTAAACCCTATACCCTAAACCGTAAACCAGGTGTTCGAAGCTTTGGAGTGCGCGTCCCCGCGACTTGAGTGCTTTGCATCGCCTCTGCTTTGCCGTGGCAGCCACTTGGCGGGTCGTCTTCTTAGGAGTTAGTTTTCATTGTTGCTTTTATGACCCTAAACCCTAAACCCTAATGAAGGGTGTAGGGTCTAGGGTTTGGGGGCCGTGAGAAGTGAGTGGAAACCAAAAATGATGTTCATTGCAGGTCGGGGGTGATGACAGTTAGCTCGATTGGGCTTGGGGGTTTTAACCCTAAACCTTAACACTAAACCCTAAACCCGCCTAGACCCTAAACCCCAAGCCGGCGTGGGTATGTATTTGTTGTTAAAAGGTTCAGGGCTTAACCACAGGGGGCTCAAAAAGTGGGATGAAGGTAGGTGGGTTGGGGTCCATCGTCTGGGCTTTAGGGTCTAGGGTTTAGGGCTTAGGGTTTAGGGTCTAGGGTATAGGGAATATTGGGGCTTATCTCCTATACCCCACCTTCCTTTACCCCACCTTTTGAGCCCTCTAATAATCACAGAGCTTAGGGTTCAGAAGCGGGATGGCAGTTTGATATCGAGGGTCCCCACGATCTTTAGGCTTCAAGAATATGAATTGTCAATGGCCTATCATTTAGGGTTCTCTTTAATCCCGAAACCTCAATCTCCAGCCCCTTAACGCCCAAAAATCATCAAAAATCCTATTTAGCATACCACACAGACATACAAATACTGTTTGTGCTTCTTGAATCGGAACAAGGTTTCGGGTAAATTGTACTATGCCTATGCACTTACAAAGTTTGTAAGTGGAAGCTCTTAACCCCAAACCCTAAAGCCCTAAGTGAGCTATAGTCTACACTCCGTAAAGGGGGTTATAAAGGGGATTATAGAGGGGTGTATTATAGAGGTTATTAAGGGGATGCTAGGAGCTTAGACTGTAGTTCAAATGATTACTGAGACTTCTAAACACTAAAAAACTGAAGGCTCAGGTTTCAAGGCCGAGTGCGGAGCTGTTATCCTTCTGCTTCGGATAAACGTGAGAAATCGCATGATAAAGGTCCTGAAAAGGGAAAAGGTTTTTAAGACTCTAAACCCTACTTCCTAAACCCGACTTCCTAAAGCCTAGTGCTAAACCCTAGACCCCAGAGCCCCAACCCTGAACCTTAAACCCTGGGGTTTATAGGGTTTGGGGTTAGCCAAAATCCAAGTGTCAACAAGACCTTGAACTCTAAACTCTGAAGCTTGTTTTTTCAGGTTGGCACTTCTGCTCCATTTTTGGGGACCTGGATGTCTTCTTCGGCTCGCTGGGGCGACTGTGCATGGGAAGAACGGGGGAGCACTCAGGGACCCTGGTTCAGAGGTTCCTAAACCTGCTAGGGGTTAGGGTTTAGGGTTCAGGGTTTAGGGTTTAGGGTTTAGGGTTAAGAGGTTCAGGATTTTCAGTTTAGGGTTTCCTGTACACTCAAGCCCTAAGCCTTAAACCCTAAACCCTAGACGGGGCTGATAGGTTTCTCAACTTTGGTGCCATAGTGGATGCTTTCAAATTGGGGGGTTGTAGTGTTCAGGGTTTAGAGTTTCAAGGTTTAGGGTCTAGGGTTTAGGGTTTTCTCCAAAAGAACCCTAAACTCTAAACCCTATACACTCACAAAAAAAAACTATACAGTCCCCTTTAGAGAGGTGAATGGGAGGCATTGGATTTAGCACGAACGGTTTCTCAGAAAGGAATCTTTTGGCGACTTCTAGACAGAGTCAGGGTTCAGGGTCCAGGGATCAAATCATCAGGTGGAGGGGGGGGGGTCTCATAAAACCCAAAATTTCTTGAAAGGGCTGAGTCTTTAAAGTGGGGTTATATAGGGGATTGCATAGGGTTTAGGGTTTAGGGGGTTGCATATGGGATTATATCAGAGAGTATTGTAGGGTTCGTAAGGGGGATACTTGGAATTTAGACTATCGTACAGCTCATATGTGTTCAAATCATGCATGCCGTTGTCGTTTGAGGATCTCAGAATTTGGGGTAGGTATACCCTTGACCCTAAACCTAAGCCTGGTCGGTGATCCTTCTTTCGGCTAGATTCTACCGTGTGCCAGGCCTTTGTGGGATCCTACCCATACTTGATTTAGGGTTTGGGGTTACGGGTTTATGCCGTTTAGGGTTCAGGGTTTCGGATTGAGGGTGTTCAGGCATACCTGCAACCCCAATTACCTACAGCTTAGTATTAATTACCCCCTAATTAGTAGGTATAACCTTCAAAACTGTAGGTAATCGGGGTTGTAGGTAGATCCCAGGCCCTTCCTGCAAGAAGACCTTGACATCGGAGCTCTGGGTGGCGTCTACGAGGTGAATCCGCCCTTCATTCGGGGCTTGGCATCTTGGTTTTATTGGGGTAAAGGGGCATAAAGTGTTTAGGTATTTGTGTATTTAGGGTTTAGGATGTTTAGGGCTGAGTGTTTCTGGCGTCTGGGAATTTTCAGGGTTTAGGGTTTAGAGTATAGGGGTAATATTCCAATGTATCGCTTTACAACGCACATTATGAATCCTCCGGAAGCGACCCTACGACGAGACCCTCAACCCTACACCCTCAGCCTTAATCACTGCACTAGGTACTGCAACTGGCCCGAAAATTGTTGGCAGCATTGGAAAGTGCCGTGCGGCACAAGAAGGACCTGCAGGTGCTCCTCGTGCCTTGAGCGCTTTGGGGAGCAGGGTTTCGGGTTGAGGGCTTAGGGCTTGGGGCGTAGGATTGAGTCTTAAGGTGTCGGGATTCGGGGAAGTAGGGCTTAGGGCTTTGATGTAGGGCTGAGGGGGCTAGCTTTGGGAGATTTTCGGGAACTCCATTACTTCTTTACTTTTTTCAGTTCCCCCAAACCCTAGACATAATCACGACCCATTACAAACCCTGAGCCCTAAACCCTAAATCGTGTTATGACTATCTCCTGATTTGGCGGGCTGTCGTAACCAATTAAAAACCTCTCATGGTTCGTGCAGGGGCCACGGTGAAGAGCTTTGCTAAGGTTTAGGGTTTAGGATTTATAGGGTTTAGGGTTCTGCCTTTTCAGCCACCAGCATCAGACTGTTATGGAGTTGGACTCCCGCTCATTTCCATCACACAGCCACTTAGATGCCATAAGCAGGAGGGCCCCTATCTGAGCTATAGTCTATACTCCTTGAAGGGCATTATACAGGGAATTATGTAGGGAAGTATTATGGGGCTTATTAAGGGGGATACTAGGAGTTTAGACTATAGCTCATATGGCTCCAAAATATTCTACTCCTTCTCATAGGGGGCTGCTAAATTTTCAAGCGGGGCGCAAACTTGGTGAAACCCTCAACTTCCCGAAAATTCCCTACCCTATGTAGCCCTAGATAGCCTCGATGTATCCGCCGCTAGAACCCTTCTGAAGGGGGTCCCTACTAAGGTGTTACCCGGCCTGGAGCAGCGCGAGGAAGGGAGACATGCCTTGGACGACCTGCTTGAGAGCCCCTTCAAAGTTGCACTGTCCGAGCGAAGGCACGGGGGTTGAGGGTTTAGGGTTTAGGGTTTTATGGATTAGGGATTTGGGGTTTAGGGTTTAGGCATAGGGGTTATGGGGATAATGGCAAAGAAAATGGAAATTGCTACAATGGGGTTATATTATATAGGGGATATATTGGGATATATAGGGATATTGGCAAAGAAACTGGAAGCTACTATTTAGGGTTTAGGGGTTAGTGTTTAGAGGTTTAGGGTTTAGGGGCTTAGGGTTTAGGATTCTGGGTCTAGGGTTTTGGGGGTAGAGGGTTCAGGGCTGCTAGAGATTCAAGTGGCCAAGAAACGAAAATGACATGGAATCACGGAATCTAGGAGTTTATGGGGTTATGTGGTCTAAGTAGGCGAACCCGAATGATTTCCAGGTAGTATCCGAGAGTCTTCAAAAGCTGTGGTAGGATAACAGCCAGTGGTTCGTAATGGACATAGCTAGGTCTGTAGACATGCCCTAAACCTTTAAGCCTTAGCCCTAAATTCTCAAGCCCATATAAGTTTACAATTACTTAGGGTTCTTGAATTTCCTTAATCTCTAAACTGTCAAAATTTTAAGACCAAAATGACAACCCCAAAAAACACTAAGTAATGGTAATAAACCTTGGTACTTTGATGGACGACTAGGATGGTTCTAGGCGAATGAGAAATAGATGACAGGGTGTAGGGCTTAGGCTATATATGTATATAGTTTAGGGTTTATGGTCTAGGGCTTAGGCTCTGTAGTAGTCCCTAGATTATGAGCCCTTGTCTTAGTCCCTGCAACCCAGGCCCCCCTGAACCTTCAACCTTAAGCATTAATCCAAAAGCCAAGTCCTAAACTACCTAGCCCCCAAAACCTGAAACCCTAAATCCCTAAACCCTAATCCATAAGCACCGGGAAATTCTTAAAGGAGTGTTTGTTGCCTCAGATAAGCCATTGTCTAAACTCCTAGTATCCCCTTTCATAACCCCAAAAAGACTCCCCTATATAATCCCCTATATATTCCCCTCTAAGATGTTTAGACCCTAAACCCTAAACCCTATACAAAATCCCCTATATATCCCCTTAAGGTGTTCAGACTATAACGGCCAACCCAGAGCATCAAACCCTGAACTATGCGGTTAAGGTGTAGGGTTTTGTCTAAACTCTTTAAGGGGGTTATGTAGGGGGTTATATAGGATTTAGGGTTCAAGGAGGCAGGGTTTGGGATTCAAATTTAGGGCTTCGGATTTTGAGTTCAAAGGTTCAGGGTTTGGGGCTTAAGATTTGGGGCTTCGGGTTTAAGGTTCAAAAGGGTTCAGGGTTTGGGATTTAGGGCTTGGGGGTTAGGGTTTTGGGTTTAAAGGGTTCAGGGATTCGGGCTGAGGGTTTGAAGGGTTGAGAAATTAGGATTTTGGGGTTAGGGTTCAGGAGGTAGGCTTAAGGGGTTAGGGTTTAAGATCGTTCAGGGTTTAGGGCTCAGGGCCTAGGGTTTAGTGTTCCAGGTTTGGGCTTCAGGATTTAGAGCTTAGGGTTCAGGGGTCAGTGTTTAGGATTTTGGGCTAGGGCTTCAGGGTCTAGGATTTAGGGTTTAGGGTTCCGGGTTAAGGGTTCAAGGTTAAGGTTTTGGGCTTGATGGACAAAATCTTGCAGCACCCTAAGTGTACTAATCTACCATAATTCCTAGGGTTAAGTAGGGATTTTGTCCATCCGCCATAGGTGGCAGTTTAGGTTGTAGGTTTTTGCCTGCTCTTGTTGTTGTAGAAGGGAACCTATTCCTAAGTCAATCTGCGGGACCTTTATAATACAACCCAGCCAACCTTGACTTGTCGATTTGAAGGCTGTGACGCCTCAGAAGTACCTTCCGCGGTTTCGGTTTTAGGGTCTTCCCTCAAACCAGCACGGAACCCCATGTGCCTTGCACCCTGAAAGGCCCAAACTCCAAAACCCCGAGCCCTCGAGGGACAGCAGTCTTCACAGGCCCCCTTTGAGGTGTTCCCTGTTAGTAATGCTTTTAGATGGGAAGCCCAACCCCGCAACCAAATCCCGCAAGGATCAAGGTTTGGATTCGGGGTTAGGGCTTGAGATTTTCAACCCTGCACAGACCCCCCAATTCCGAATGATAGGTTTAAGGATTTCCCCCGAACCCTAAACCCGAAACCCCAAACCCTAAAGCGTTTCAAAGCTCCCAAAGCAGATTGCGGTGATATTGCGGCGGGGGTCTACTTAGTTCCCAGGTCTGCCACGATCCTGAACCATCAGTCACATACCACCCCGCGCAGCCAAACCAACAAAGCCACACTGCTTGCCCTCAGGCCCGAGACCCTAAACCCCAAATCCTGAATCCCAAGCGCAAGGTTCCAAGCACTAATCCCTAAACCCTTCAAGCACTGTCCACGTGAGCTATAGTCTGAACTCCTTAAAGGGGGGTTTGAAAGGGGATTATCCAGGGGAGTATTATAGGGGATACTAGGAGTTAAGACTCTATCCCCTAGACCCTAGACCCTAAATCCTATACTAGGGTTTATGAAGGGGGATACTACCAGTTTAGACTCTAGCTCATGTCGAAGGCAGCGAGCCTTCCGTAACGGACTTACCTTCAAGACTGACCATCCGCGGCTGGTCTTTACTGCCTTGATTTCTTCTAGGTACCCATGAGTTTAGGCTCAGGGGGTTTAGGGGGTTTTGGGGGTTTTCTGGGTTTAGGGTTTAGGGTGTCCCCGTACGTAGTACGCTGTTTCATTCAGGGTTTAGGGCTTTGGGGGTTTAAGGGTTTAGGGCCTACGGGTTCAGAGTTTAGGGTACCCCAGCAGTACTTTTTTTTTTCCCTGAGGGTTTGGGGTTTGGGGGGTTAGGGGTGTAGGGTTTAGGGCACGTAATCCAGTAGTACCTTTTGTTCTCTTTTTGTTTTGGGGTCTCCTTGTTAAAGCTAATGGCTTACTGGGGAACCCAGCTTTCAGATCGGACTAAATGCAATTTGAGTAGTATTTTATTTGGGGGTATTATGGTACCCAACATAGAGTAAGACTATATCCTCCTTTTGGCTATAGTATTCTATATAGGGATTATTATCTTACTAGGTTCACCGCCAAAAAAACACTACTCATTTGGGGTTTTCCGAAATCAGGGGTCCCTTCTGGGGTTACCATGGTTTTTCAGGTGTGTTTATGGGGGCTTCCCTATTTATGGAAGGCCTCATGTCCACCTAGATCTTCAAGCAGTTAAATAGGGTCGAAAGCCGTCAAAAGCTCAGTAATTGCTCTCGCTAAACGCAAGTGCCGCCACTATTGCTGCTGCTGCTACTACTGCTACTACTACTACTACTACTACTACTTTCCTCCTTCTGCTACTATTATTACTGTTGCTACCACTCCTGAAATCATCGTTATCATTGCAAGTTCTGTTTGAGCTCAGCAACCAGGTGGCCAGTCTTCGCAACGTCCACCACCGTGGCACTGTTTCTGGGTTGCTGTTAAGGATTTGAGGTTTAGGGTCAGAACTTTCAATCAGGCTACCAAAATACGGGCAGCACATAGATATAGAGACGATGGCTTAGTTAATTATAGCGGCAACTTAGTGTCAAGTTCCCGTACGACCCTATACAGCATAACCCGTATGTGCATGTGTATGTGTATGTGTGTACATATATATACACACACATACACATAACCCGCAGTTTCCCTTCCATGCTCCATTCTCTTGTCCATTTGGCTTTCCATTGTGGTAACTCAGTTCCTAACATGAACCGCTATTTAACCCTACTGTATCTCCTAAGCCCTAAACCTCAAACCCTAAACCCAAAACCTTAAAAGCAACCCAGGTTTGCCTCAGAGCCGGATGCTTCTGAACGGCTTTCAGAGAAGTTCGACAGCACCTTCTGTGGCACTTTCGACATGCTTGTTAGAGTTTGGGGTTGAGGGATTAGAGTTTAGGGTTTAGGGTTGGGGTTTAGGGTTCAGGGTTGTACCTGAAGGGTTTACGGTTTAGGGCGGGTGTGGGGTGCAGGACTTAGGGTTCAGGGTTTAGGGTTGGCAACCTTGTTTCAGCAGAAGAAGAGAGGGAGCCGAGGGAGGGGGAGGCACTAATGCAGAAGTTCAAATAAGCTGTAGTCTAAACTCCCCAAACGGGGGTTATATAGGGGATCATATAGGGGAGTGTTATAAGGGTTACGAAGGAGGATACTAGGAGTTTAGACTGTAGCTCAAATAAGTATATCAATCTTACGGTTCTATATCTTCTTTTATATCCTTTGGTGAATTATGTTATAGTCCACCTCAAAATAGATCTGAAAACGGTATTGGTAATCACTTAGACCCCTACAGGAGGAGGAGTAGGAGGAGGATGTAGAAGATAACGCCTGAGATCTTTAATCTGTGTAGCTTTTTGGATTTCGGTTGCTAGGGTCTACCTGAACACCAAAAGCATGTAGAACAATGGGCTATTTCTAGAGTTTTTGGGCTATTATGTTACCTACTTTTGGCGTCCAGGTAGGGTTTAGGGTTAAGGGAAGCCAGTTCCTAAATCCCAAAAGTATGTAAAATGACAGCCCTAAACCCAGAATAATAGCCCTAAAGGCCATTATTTTACATACTTTTGGGGTTTAGGTTCTCTTGAACGGCGAGGCTTGGCGGCTGAGCCCGGGGTTTAGGGTTTAGGATTTACAGTAGGATTTAGGATTTAGGGTTTTCGGTTCAGGGTTTAGGGTTTAGGATTTAGGGTTTAGGGTTTATGGCGGAAACCCCAACCTTAAACCTTACGCTCCCGGAAACTAACATGGAATCCCAAAAAAAGGGCCCTATAAAGACTACAGTCCTTCTAAAAGGGGACTCTATGGGTTTTCATGTTAGTTTGGGCGAGTGTCCCCCCCTTGGGTAGTTCCTTACCTTAGTCTTCTGGTTTTGGTTAGTTTACAGGAACCCCAGAAGACTACGTCTTTTGCTACATTCTGAGAGATGGGGATAGTAAACCCTAAACCCTAAGATATCATGGGACCCATGACTCTCATAGGTTTCTGCCTTTTGGAATTGGGTTAATTATAGTCCCCCTTAAGTAGATAGAATATGGGGTATATAGGGATCTTACTGTACTGTACGCAAAGCCATATTCTATCTACTTAAGGGGGATTGTATCTGAATCCCGACATTATCGAAACGAAGCTCCGTAAAAGCACCCGAAATTTGAGTTTCCATATGATGTTTAGTCTAGACTCCTTAAAGCAGGTTATATAGGTACAAGGCTACTGTAGGGGTCATTAACGGGGGTACTAGGGGTTTAGACCATGGCCAACATGCTTCTCCATTTGCCTCTCCTTTATAGGGATGGGAGTAACAAAAATCCTGTGACTGCGAGCTCTAAATCTGGAACCGTGAACTCTAAGCCCTGAAGCCTAAACCCTAAGATCCTAAATCCCTGAAAACCCTAAGCCCCAAACCTTGAACCTGAACCCTCAATTCTTCTATTTGACCAGCCAAGGCATCTGCAAACTTTGGGGAGAAGTTGATTTGCCACCTCGCACGGACAAAGATGCGGATTTGTGTTGGGATGTCATGTCCCCTGAAGATGCAGAGATCTGAGTTTGTAACAAGAGAGCTTACAGTCCCAGAAACTAACATGGAAACCCAAAAGAGGGCCTGTAAGGATTAGAGTCCCTTTGAAGGGGGGTCATTTGGGTTTCCATGTTAGTTAGGAGGGTTTAGAGGATTTAGACCTAAAACAGGGCTCTCCGCACTCTCCCTTACGTTTAATAAGGTTTGTTTAGGATTAACTGGGACCAATTAACACGGAACCTTCGGTTGGTAGTATAGGACTTGGTTTCCTAGGGATCTCATAAAGTTGCCCTGCATGGGCGGTGTCATGAAAGAGCTCCTACCAAGAACCCACATAATTGTTGTAGCGGGATTGTGTGCGCCGAGTGCGGTATGACTTCTGGGTGCATGGTCAATGGTTGTGTGTCGGGTTTCCCGGTTTTTCCTTCCCACGGAGAGTTGCACAGTGGCTGTATTATGATAACTAGTCTGCATTCCCAGCTAGCCAAGGGTAAGATAATAAGCCAAAGTTTCCGGATTCCGCAACTTGGGTGGTCCCCCCACCCACTAATAGTGATAGAATGCGGAGTATATAGGAACTTTAACTAATATGATTACCGTTATCCCGTAGTTGTGGTGACAATCACCTAAGCTGCCACGGCATGAATCCGCGGCACCGACATGCAGCTGTCTGGCTCAGCATTCCCCTCCGATTCGTAGAGATGTCCATAAGATCGCAGCCATGGAGGGGGCATTGCTCAAGCTGAGCATTCCGACAGTTTGTTGCGTACTGGCTGTTGCTTGCTGTAGGGCTCAGGGCACCTGCAGAAAGGGGCCTCCAGGCAAAAGACACGAAACTAGGTTGCAGCTCAGGAAATCGTGTAAATTACCATAGTATGGGTGCATTGTAAACATTAGGGTGTTCTTGCTATAGTAGCTTGATTTGGTAGTTTCCGAAAATAGGGGGACCCCAGAATACTATAGTCCTTATTATGGAGACCCCCAAAAGGTACCCCTAATTTTGGGAAACTCCCATTTAAAGTTTCTCAACCGCAACCCAGGAAAGCCCGGATAGGATCAGTGTCAGCTCCGCGCCATCAGAGGTGGTAAGTATCCAAAGCGATAGCAACGTAGATGCGGTCCAAGACCTGGAAACAGGGCCGGTTTAGGGTTATGGGGGTTTTAGAAATAGGGTTTGGGGTTCAGGGTTTAGGGTTTAGGGGTCAGGAATTCGGGTTTTGGGGTTTTGGGCTTGGGGTATAGGAGTTTCGTTTGGTGTTATAGCGTCCTATAGATCAAAGCGGTACCCCCAGGAAAGGACGATCAATTGGGAAAGAATATGGAAGATGGAATGGAGCCAGTGCGCGCTGTTTAAATTGGCGTAAACGGAGAATCAGATGGAGAAGGAAGTGGACAATGCAATGGAAAAGGTTATGCACCGGATTGTACAAGGGTTGAAATTTCTGAAAGGACTTGAGTTAAGTCACCATGATAACGTAACCATCAGACTTCCAAAGCGTCCATCTTATGGTAGAAATTGTAAATCCCTTGACCCAGACCCCTGATTAAGAAACCCCTCCCTTAATAGGGATTACACTAGGGATCCAATATTAAGGTTGCTACAAAGAGGGGTTTATTATTCATGGGTCTACATTAGCAGCAACCCAGGAGATGTGCAGGGGACCGCAGGTAGAGGACGATGACTCAGATGGTGATGGCATTGAGCGGCACAAGGTCCCGGTCCGCAAGAGGCGGGTTGAGGGTTTCGGGTTCAGGGTTTAGGGAAAATCAGGGTTTCTGGTTTAGGGTTTCGGGTTTAGGGTGTCGTTTTTAGGGTTCAGGGCTTAGGCTTGAGGGTTTAGGGTATCAACATCGCTCCATGTCCCTGATATTGACACACCCCCACCCCTGCTATTGAACATTCCCACCCATATCGCAAAGTAGGGGACCCCCAGATAGACCCCAAAATGCTATAATCCTTATTAGAGGGACCCCCATAATTGCCATATAGTAGATGTATATAGAAATATATATATATATAGATATTTAATAGTAGGGGCTGGGGGAGTTGAATAGGAAGTCTTAAGGGCAGGTAATTTGTCCGTCTATTCTCCCTTATACCCTATAACCCTAAACTCCTAAACCCTAAACCCCAAACCCCTAAACCCTTAAACCCTAAACCCTAAACCCTCATCCTTTGTAGGGACCCAACATCATCTCAGTATCATCCGTATGGAGCCCTGGTGTTCCCAGGTTTAGGGTTTAGGTTTTAGGGTTTTGGATTTAAGGTTTAGGATTTAGGGTTAAGGATTTAGGGTTTAGGGTTTAGGATGTAGGGTTTAGCGGTTAGGGTTTTCTCTAGGTTTGGACCCTAAACCCTAAATCCTAATCGCCTCCCCCTCATATTAAAACCCTCCCACCCCCCCCAATTGAATATTCCCATCGGGGCATCGGGGTAGATTCAAGTATGTTACTTAAGAGCCTCCGGCTCAGTCCGCCGACCGCGGGAGCGCAAATGGTGAGGGCCGCGGGGCAGGGGCATGGTCGCAACGACGCCGCAACAACGGAACCGCAGCCCAGGGCGCGTTGTTCGTCGTACCTACACGCGGGAGTGTTTTCGATACGTATTTTCTCGTTGCTGCGGGGGTTGTGGATGTTC